TCCTCAAGGTCTAAAAAAGATCTAAATGTTAGATTTCTCCTTTTTCCTTCAGTACTTAGGTACTCATCTGATAATCTGATAATTGGTTGTTGGATATTTCTCAGACAGCCACCAAGTGGTAAAATGGGTAACTGGAGGATTCCTAATTTGTTTTAAGTTTTTCTAACCCCATTATAATAAGAGCAAATAATATCTAATATTTATTTAGTGTGGGCTCTGTTCCAAGCATTCACAATAACCCTATGATATAAACATTAATATTATCCTCAGCTTACAAATGAAGAAACCAAGGTTTAGGAAAAATAAGTCACACAGAAGCTAAGCTGCAAAGTTGGAGTTCAAACCCAACTCTGAAACCATGCTGTTAATCCTTATTCTACTATCTTCCATAGGAGAAAATGAACCATTGTTTGCCATTCTATTTTATAATGTAGCTTCCCTGAACACACTGGTGGAAAAAATAGGATTCAGCTATATTCATTCATTAATTTACTCAACAGTTCTCTACTTGTCACCCTGCCCTGCAGTTTGTTTGTAGCAGTTGACAATGGTTGGCTCTCCAATGACTAGTCCCCTTTTCCTCCTTGCTAGCAGACTCCCAATTATGTCACTCGAGAAAAGCTTGGTCCCTTCCTCATCCCATGGGGTAAACCTTGTTTAGGTGAAGGCAGTGTCGTTGTGGTCTTATTGCCCTCACCAGTAACAGGGTCAGGAATGGGCACATGATGCTCTCCTTGCCACAGAAAAGTGAAGAGATGTCTGCTGAGGGGCTTCAAGGAAGCTTTTTTCAGTCTTAGAAAGAAACTCAAGACAGGGACATTTCCTTTTTCTGCCTCTTGACCTTGCAAGGTGAGGAGAAGATACCTAGAACTATAAGCAGCCCATCTTGAGACCATGAGGAAACCAACATAAGAGGAAAAGGTACCCACTGAGAGTGGAAAGACAGAAGAACTTGGGAATTTGAGGGCACTGTCGATCCCTAAATTAACCAAGCCTAGAACCATCCCACCTCCATATGCCTGGTTATGTGAAATAACAAACTTGGATGATTTAAACCACTTTTAGTTTAATTGTGTTTTCTATTACACAGCCAAAGGATCCTAACTGATACAAATGTTTATTAAAAACTGCATTTAAAAAAAAAAGTGAGGCAAAAAAAAAAAAGACCAGACTTACTGGTCTGACAGAGACTAACTCTGAAGCGTATGGCCCCCGGACACCCTTTTAGCTCAGTAATGAAGTCATTCATGAGGTTCACCCTTCAGCCAAAGATTTGACAGGTCCATAAAACAAAATGAGATTAAATGGACACACCAGCCCAGAGGCAAGGATCAGAAGGCAGGAGGGGACAGAAAAGCTGGTAATAAGGAACCTAAGGTTAAGAAGGGAGGAGTGCTGACATGTTGTGGGGTTGGCAACCAATGTCACAACAGTATGTATAGTAATTGTTTAACGAGAAGCTAGTTTGCTCTGTAAACCTTCATCTAAAGTACAATATAAAAAAAAAAGTGGGGGGCAATCTAGAATAACATTCTGCCAAAAAAAAAAAAGATGACAAAACATGTCTTTAGTTCAAAAAACCAGTTGCATAATTGTAAAATGATAAAAAGCTAACTTAACAGTAGTTCAAATAACAAAGTCCTATGTGCTTTACTAGGGAGTCCCTGGGTGGTACAAACAGTTAAGCCCTTAACTACTAGTGGAAAGGCTGGTGGTTTGAACCCACCCAGAGGCGCATCAGAAGACAAGCCCGGTAATCTGCTTCTGAAAGGTCAAAGCCTTGAAAACCCTATGAGGCAGTTTCACTTTGCACACATGGGGTTGTCACGTGTCAGAATCAACTTGACGGCAACTAACAACAACAACAGTTGCTGTACTGGTAGATTCAAGGTAACCCAACATTATGACATGGCTGAGGAAAATGTACAGTCACTTTGGGTAGCATTATTAGAAGTAGAGGCTCAAGACCATGGTGGCAAAGTCTTACAAAGCTCAGCACTCATCATCACATTTCTGGAAGAAATTAGGCATACAACATTAAAAGGGACATTGAAGAACAAGAGAGTATCCAAGGAGGGTTATCAGGAGGGTAAAAGATAAGAGTGACCATATATTGAAGGAATTACAAATGCACAGTCTGGAAAAGGGAAAGACTAAAGGAAGCATGATGGCTATTTTCAAGAGCTCTTCTAGAAAGGAAGGACTGGACTTTTTCTCACTGCTTTAGAAAAAGGAATCAGAAGCAACACTTGGTTTAGAAGGTAGATTTTGGCTTAAAACAAGCAATTTCCTAAACGTTAAAGCAATTTAAAAGTCAAATAGGAAAGTTTACTTTCACTGCGATAAAATAAAGACTGACTGACCATCCATCAGGGCCATTCTAGAACACTATTTCCCAGAAAGTAAGATGTACTCCGGAAGCAGTGGTGGTTCGGTAGTAGAATTCCAGCCTTCCAAGTGGGAGACTTGGGTCTGATTCCTGGCCAGCGCACCTCATGTGCACCACCACCATCTGTCAGTGTATGCTTGTGTGTTGCTATGATGCTGAACAGGTTTCAGTGGAGCTTCCAGACTAAGATGGACTAGAAAGAAAGGCCTGGCAATCTAAATACTCACCGCTTGAAAATCAGCCAATGAAAACTCTATGAAGCACAACGGTCCTATCCACAACTGATGATGGGGATGACGCAGGACCAGGCAGCATTTTGTTTCATGTGCATGGCGTTACCATTAGTTAGGGGCCAACTTGACAGCAGCTAACAACAAGTAATACACTCATCACTGGTTGTATATGAGGTGATTTTAAGTGGTACATACATTTATTTTATATACGTATCTATATTACACACATTTATTTTATATGTTATTTATTTTATATATTTACATGTACATATATTTATATATACATTTTAATGTACATCAAAGACAAATGTACATATCAAACTAGCCATCAGGCCTGTGGTTTCATGAACATTATTGTTTTAGGATGCTGCACTAAGCTAGGGGCACTGTGGGTAAATTCTATCTTTGCTAACTACACAGTAAGAATCAACATGAATCCAATTCCCAAAGAGTGAAAATGGATCCAGTCCTCACCTTCATACTTCTCCATTCTCATTACCAGCTGCTCATGTGGCATACTCTCTCTCCAATCCTAGCCACCCAGCGCTGGGTCAGAGCTCACAAGTTATAAGGACACCATCTTTCAGACCAGCTGCCCATACAACATTTCTCAGACCCTAGCCATGCACAGCTAGGTCAGAGCTCACATATAATCGGAACAAAACCCTTCTTTATAGACTGCCAAACAGGCAGGCACCAGTCCCTGCTGGCTCTCGCTGCCTCTGTGGGTTCATTAATTTGCTGGAACAACTCACAGAAATCTCAGAGAGTATACCATGCTTACAGCTACAACTTTATTACAACCAAAAAGGATGCAAATGAAGAGATGCATAGGGTGCGGTCTGGGAGGGGTCACAGCGTGGAACTTCCATGTCCCAAAGAGGGATGCACTATATTCTCCTGTGGATAGTCACCAACCAGGAAGTCCATCTGAGCTTTAGGGCTCAGAGCTCTTATCAGCCTCACCATGTGGCCATAATAGATTACATCATGCCTCATGAGGCTTAGTCACCAGTGGACCCCCAGGTGGTCCTTATGGGTCTGGTCAGCTTGAAACAATCAAGAACAAAGGCCAAATTGCTTTCTGCAAGGTGATTCCACACTTCACATGGATAAAGTAGCAATTAGAGGATTTAGAAAAAAACATTCAGTTAATTACAATACAAGTAATATAAGGAAATGGCAAAAATCATGAAGATACTACAAATATGTCTCAATTTTCGTCATGCTGCTCTGAGGGGTTTCTTCCATTGAATGTGCTAAAGTTAAGCTCCTCCTTTACCAAAGTTGTATTAATATTCAGAGATTTTCTGAAAATGTGGTAAGCTTTAACTACATTTATTCAAACAATTTTCATAATAAAATAGAGGAACTATAATTATTCATCACTTTCAGTAATAATCTTAGAAATACTGACTTTTAATAACTATAGCCATAAAATTACGTCTAGAATACTCACATAACCAATCTTTAATCACAAAAGACTAACATTCTTGCACATTGTTCTTGTCACAGTGAACTGCCCCATAGGGTATCCAAGGCTGTAATCTTTATGGGAGATCGCCAGGTCTTTTCTTCCGCAGAACAGCTAGTGGGTTCAACTGCCAACCTTTGGATTAGCAGCCAAGCTTTTAACCATTGTGCCACCAGAGCTCATTTTCTTGCATTTAATAAGCACTTACTGAGGGCCTTCTATAGGCCAGGCACTGTGGTAGACACAAATTTGAAAGCAAGTTTGCAAGTTTTCATTGGAAGGATCTACTGCTAGCTTGAGGAAAAGTGTTAAAATATGTCAGGAAAAACACTAGAAAAGAATGTCTTTACCATCACATTCATTAAAATATATATGTATATGTTTTAATATAAATCAAGCCCAAACACTCTTGAAGCAACACATACACACAAAAAAAATCTAGACGTATGAACCAGATTCAGATTTAAAATCTCTTCATAAGCATTGCCTCATATTTAGTACTTGATGTTCTTGTTCCAGTGTATTCTGAAAATCCTCAGGAGTCTTAAGGAAGCCTTAAAGACAATTTTGTGATGTTCCCGTGAAATGTCTGCCTACTCTACCTTACGGCACTGTATGGCAGGCATAATCTAACAGCATCAAGAAAGTGATGGGCCTCTCAGGGAAAAGATGCCACAAAGTACAACTGGAAACGTTCTTACTGACTAATGAGACCTTTTCTCTTCCTTCCCAGCTTCTAGGCCAAGAAATACTTTGTTCGAGTTATCAAATAATAAGTGACATAAAACATATACAACACCCTAAAGAAACTAAAGTTTAAGCTCTTGTCCCCTAAAGGTATGTCCCCATTTCTACGTGGATTTCGGAAAGAAAAACAACCAGCCCAGAAATATTCCGTTCCTACCTCCTGAATGTGTTCCTTGTAGACTTGCAGTGGCCCTGCGGCTTTGGCGGTGTCCCAGAGCTGCAGCGAGCCGTCGCCACTGCAGGTGACGAGGACATGTTCGTTGTTCTCACTCCAGGTTACATCAAACAAACCATCATTCCAGTCAAAGCTACACCAGGGAAATTAAAAAAAAAATATATATGTGTGTGTGTGTGTATATCTACTTACACAGGCAGCTGACAAAAAGAGTAATGATCATCATTTTTGTTTATCGATTTTTTATAGTTTATCAAATATTTTAATACGTTATCTCATATGATCTTCACAGCTAGGGAGATAAGTAAAGCAGGTGCCTGACAGATGCAGAACTAAGTTCAGAGAGGGTAAAGGAATAGTCCCTGGTCACACAGTTAGAAAGCTGCAGAGCTAGATTAAAATCAGGTCTCCTGATTATAAATATGGCACTATTTACATAAGGGCATGCTGCCACACCTGGGTGTTCACTGGTTTCTGCAGTTTATAGGATGGACCAGCAAGAATGTCAAAATACTAATTGAGACTAATAATTTCAACTTTTCCCATAAATCTTTTGCCTGAGCGATAAGCAGGTCGTTATTTTCTGATGAAATTTCTTTTCCATTTCTACCTTTAACTAATACTGATGGAGGTTATTAATGAGTTCAACAGTCACACAGACAAGACAGGCATAGAAAAAAGAAAAGAAAAGAGGGTCTGGATAAGCTGCAAAATGATCAATTAGTTCCTGAATAAGTAAAGCAAAACTACATTGAGATGACAGCATAGTAAAGTCACAAAGTACACTAACTATTTCACATTTTTATGAGGTTTAAATTTTATAATGTATAAATGGATACTAAGAAACAAAAGTTTTTTTTTAGAAAAGTGACCATCATAATTTATTGGCAAAAATAAGTTCTATACTACCCAAATGCTCAAGTTTCTTTTATATTGCCAATTAAAACATTTTACTGATCAAAAAAGACTTAAAACCTAGTTCTATTAAGCATTATTAGCAACAGCGAATATACGGAAGTTTAATAATTAGGGCTACCTTACCTTCTAAAAAGCCTAAGCCCAGATTCATATTTATCCAATACTAGTAGGGTTCCACAGCCTAAAGAGGAAAAAAAAAATCATCAAGGTCATGCCACTGAACACTTATCTGCCAACAAAGCATCTAAGGTCAAAGAGGTATCAAGCACTTAATTTTACTACCACAAATTTCTCCCAAAAGTGATTGGGAGCATGTATACAAAAGGATCGAGAATGTACTCTGCATTTCATTCTATCTTGTCCTTTGGAGCCCTGGTGGCAGTGGTTAAGAACTCTCCTACTCCCAGCACTAAAACCATTCCCGAGGCCAACTCTCCAAACAAAGATTAGACTGGACTATAGGACATAAAATGATACTCATGAAGAGTCTGCTTCTTAGCTCAAGTAGATACATGAGACTAAACAGGCAGCTCCTGTTCAGAGGTGCAATGAGAAGGCAGAGAGGGTCAGGAGCTAGCTGAATGGACACGGGAAATCCAAGGTGGAAAGGAGTGTGCTGTCACAGTACAGGGAGAGCAACTAGGGTCACATAATAATGTGTGTATAAATTTTTGTGTGAGAGACTAACTTGAATTGTACACTTTCACTTAAAGCACAATAAAAAAATTTTAAAAAAAGACAGATTAGAACTATCCCATAGGGTTTCCAAGGAGTGGCTGGTGGATTTGAACTGCCAATCTTTTGGCTAGCAGCTAAGCTCTTAACCACTGTGCCACCAGGGCTCCTATAAATGAAAGGCAGGTTCATATTAATAGTATGCCACATTCCCAGGAAAGCATTTTGGGGATGGAAGGAAGAGATTCAGCACAGTTAGCCAGTCCGTTCATTGGAGCACTGGGGATAAACACAAGTTCTCCAGCCTTGAGCTAGAAGAACAGTTCTGAAGCAAATGAGATTTTGAAGCACTGAAGACCTCAGAGAAGCAGACAGAATAGCAGAGATGATTAATACCAGGGCCGGTGCTGTCAAGTCCAGATGTTTCCCAGATGATCATGAGAAAGTGATCCTTCAGGTGAGACGAGAAGGCAGAGAGGGTCAAGGAGCTGGCTGAACAGACACGGGAAATCGGGGTGGAAAGGAGGAATGTGCTGTCATAGTATAGGGAGAGCAGCTAGGGTCACGTAACAATGTATATATAAATTTTTGTATGACAGACTAACTTGAATTGTAAACTTTCACTTAAAGTACAACAATAAAATAAGAAAAAAAAAAACAAAAAACTCAGCTACTAACCAAAAGGTTGGCAGTTCAAATCCACCAGCTGCTCCTTGGAAACTATGAGGCAGTTCTACCCTGTCCTATAGGATCACTATAAGTCATAATCAACTCGATTACAAAGGGATCGGTTTGGTTTGGTTTGATCTTGTGCTTCCATCATTAAAGAGTCAATTTACTATTTCATCTGTGACTGACATCCAGGCACAGCCCGAACAGGGAGGAGAGATACTTGAGTGCCTGCTCTGTGGCTGAAGTCCCTGGGTGGTACAAATCGTTAATGTACTAGACTGTTAATCAAAAGGTTGGCCATTAGAGTCCACCAGAGGTGCCTTGGAAGAAAGGCCTGGCAACCTACTTCTGAAAAATCAGCCACTGAAAGCCCTACTGAGCACAGTTCTATTCTAACACACATGGGGTCGCCATAAATTGGAATCGACTTGATGGCAACTAGCTTGGTTTCTGTTTTCTTTTATTCTGTGGCCAGGCATGGCGCCAGGCACACAAACCTCCCAAGCAGATGTTATCATACCTATTTACAGACGAGAAACCTGAGGCTTACAAACCCCAGGGACTGTGCTCCTTCAACTACATCACCCTGCCTTGTCAATTAATCTAAAATAGATCACCACTTCTGTCTATCTTGTTAAAAACTATGAATGTGGAAAAGACCTGGCGGAATTTACCACATACTTGATGAGAAAGTGCTGAATGCAATATTAATATCAGTTATCTACCAAAGACAGATTATTTTACTAAAAGGATTAACATATATTTTTAAATTATAATTAATTTTATAAACAGTGGGAAAAACTTTTCTATTAAAACATGACTCAGTTTTTTAATACCAATTCCTTTTAATGAGTTTTTTAAAAGGATTTAACGTATCTTTACAAACTCATGAGTCTTTAATACTTCAACCTGATTGATGGACACCTATCAAAAAATCTGAATGTACAAACACTATGAGTTAATGGTAAAAATGTCAAAAGCAAATATTTCTTTTCTCTGCTGTAGGAGCAAACAAAAAATACTGAGGGCAGGCATTATGCAATGATTTGTTTCATATAGCCTCAGCGTGTACAATCACTAGCATATGAACTTTAAAAATGCAAAATCAAGAATGCACCCAGGAGTTTCCATCTAGCCCAAGCCAGAGACAATTAACTTGAATCCCTAACAACTGCCTATCGAATATATGTATTCCTCCCAGAACCACCAAAGTTAAGGCCAGAACTTCACAAACATCATGAAGACACTTGTGGGGAAACCTTCAAGCGCTGCACAGGAGCATCCTTCTTACGGGCAGCACGCACGTTTCAGAGTGGTGCTCGAGTGTAGATTGTGGGAAATGTGCAGCACGCTGGGATGACCCTACGACGGTCTTCCAAGTCCTGCTGGTCCCGCTGCACCGGTCGGACAACCACACAGGCTCGCTTCGCTATCTGCAAGGCGGAGGGCACCCGGCCGTGTGTCGGCAGCGGTGGAGTCCGTTCTAGCTTAAGGAAGGATATGGGCTACTAGGCTACTTCTGTATCCTACGTCCACACTACTTGGAAAAGAGGCCACACATTATCTGTAAACCAACTTCCCAGACTTGACAACTGAGGAAACGGAGCACACCAGCCTCTCCGCCTTTCCCTAGCGTTTATTTGTGGCACTCTCTACTCTCACAAGTGCTTTCAACACCAGAAAAAGCTAACGTTCGACGGGCGCTGGGCTTCCTCGGCCCCCAACCCCGATCTCACGGACCTGGACGTCCGAGGCACGCAGAGCGGCTGGCCCCGCCCCCGCCCGGCGGCGCGCCCGGCCTCACCCGCGATGCCGTAATGCTGGCAGGCGGCGCAGGCCACGCGGCCTGGCAGGTACGGGGAGAACTCGACCGCGTAGCCGTGGCGGCCCGGAACCCGCAGCGTCCCCGCCGCTCCGCCGCCCGCCGCGCTCATGGCGCCCACCGCCTCCCGGCCTCGCCACGCCGGGCCGCGGAAGCAGTTTCTAGTCGGAGGCGGTCGGTCCTCAGACTCGCTAAGAGAAGTTAAGAGAGACCAAGGAAGACGAGGCGGAAGTGAAGAACCCGCTGCCCGGAACTCTAGATTCTGATTGGTGCACAGAGGAAAGGGCGTTGACTTCGACGGAGACCATTTTGGTTTGCGGCAAAACAAAACAGTGATTTGTGCTTGTCGCGACAATCTAGACGTCACAGGAGCGTGATTCTTGGGTTGTATGGTGATTGGAGAAGTTTTGGGTTTGCCTATCAGCTTCCAGGGCGGGAATATCTGGTTTTTATTAATTCATTGAGCTTCTAAAAGACCGGCAGCTCAGAATTTTCCTGACGATTGCGAAATGAGACAAGCCACAGGAAACTAAAACCGTGCAGCGAGTCCAAAAAGAAATTTAATGCTGTTTTATCCAACGTAGCTTGAAGGAGTAGAGCTAAGAAAAAAAGATCACCATAAGCAACCAATTTAAAAAAGTTCTCACTACATACATCGTATGGTAATGTTAAGTGCTCAGATGCTGGGACTAATTAAAACCAAGACTTATTCATTCATTCAAACATTTACTAAGCATATACTGTGTGTACGGTGACCATATGTAATTCATCTGCCAAACCAAAACACTTTTGAGAGTGAAAAAGGGTGCTGTTAATAATTAAACCAGCTCAACAGGCACAAACCAAGTTGTACACCTTTACAATAAACCAAGCACAGTTCTAGGCACTTGGGATCCAAAAGTAGTAAGATATGGCCTATGGCCTCAAGAAGACTCAAATCAGTAGAGGAAAGACATGGAATTAAGTGCAGTCACAACACTGTGGGTGCTATGAGAAATACATAAAGGGTATTTAAAAGAGGAGGTTCTGGAGTTGAGAAAATGACAGGAAAAGCTTGAGAAAGAATGTAAAGACCATGAGGGTGGCGTCTTGTTTAGTTCGCTAATGTTTATCTCCAGCACCTAAAACAGCGAATGGCAAATGCTGAAGAGTCTGTAATCTTCATTCTGTCTCGGTCACCGCGGGTAGATCCCTGTGCAAGACTGCATGGACATGGGAATGTGCATTTCCATTGCCATTCTTAGACCCAGGCTTCATCGTCAAGACTGGCATCCAGCCTGGCTAAACCAAAACAAAAAACCCAAACCCACTGCTGTCGTTGTTCCCAACTCAGAGAGACCCTATAGGACAGTAGAACTGCCCCATAGGGTTTCCAAGGCTGTAATCTTTATGGAAGCCACATCTTTCTCCCGCAGAGCAGCTGGTGGGTTTGAACCACCAATCTTTCGGTTAGCAGCCAAGTGCTTAACTGCTGCGCCACCCCAAAAAACCATTCCCACTAGGGAGCACAGATCGCTGTCACTTCTCCATGCTAGAGAATGTCATCTCTCTTCTGCTCCCTAACTGCCATCACATGTTCACCTCTTGCCTCTACCTTAGGGACACATCAAAAATCTGTTCATAGTTTTAGGCTTTTACCAAATATTATGAGCAGGTTCTGTGCCAATCCTTGAAGTATCCTCGAGGCTAGGGTCTGGCTACCTAATTGGAATGGGGAAGAAATAAATAAGAAAACACAAATTAATACCTTAATAAATTATCATGCCATACTGTTAATGAGCAAAATTAAGTTAGACACCAATAAATCATTAATAAAAAATTACAATAAAGCCTTAGACATGTAGAAACAGAGTGGTACATATACCTTGCCTCACTTCCCTGCCCCCGACCTACACACAAGCCCTAAATGAACATGAGAGACGACATAGGTGCCTCATCACCTGGGCAGTATTCCTTATATTTCAGACCCTTGAATCAGAGCTCGATGGATAACTTGTATAATGTAGATTTTCAGGACACACCATAGACATTAAAAAAACAAAAAACAAACCAAACCCGTTGCCATCAAGTTGATTCCAACTCACAGCGACCCTATAGGACACAGTAAACTGCCACATAGGGTTTCCAAGGAGCACATGGTGGATTCGAACTGCCGACCTTTTGGTTAGCAGCCATAGCTCTTAACCACTACACCGCCAGGGTTTCCTACCATAGACATTTGTTCAAAATCCCAGAGGGTGCGGTAGGAAATCTGTATTTTAACAGGCTCCTCTGGGTGAATCTCCATACGCCGTCTAAAGTTGGAAGACTTCTGGCCTAGTTCAAGGCAGAAAAGAAAAACATGTTTGGGGAGAAACAGTACTGACAGGAACTTTTGGCAACAGGAAGCAAACACTGTTGGTTACGGGGAGAATATGCTCCAGAAAAGAGAAAGGAAAAAGTTAAAAAAGAGGTATCATTCCTGCATGTGAGGGCATTGGTGGTTCAGAGGTAGAACTTTCGCCTTCCATGCAGGCAATCTGGTTAGATTCCCAGTCGATGCACCTCTAGCAGAACCACCCCTGCCTTTCAGTGGAGGTTTAAATATTGCTCTGATGCTGAACAGGTTTCAGCAGAGCTTCCAGACTAAAACAGACTAAGAAGAAAGATCTGGTGATCTACTTCTGAAAATCAGCCAGTGAAAACTCTATGGATCACAATGGTCCAATCCACAACCAGTCCCGGGGATGACATAGGACCAGGCAATGTTTCATTCTGTTGTGTGTGAGGTCACTATACGTCAGGCCAACTGGACAGCAGCTAACAACAACATCATTCATACAATATTGAGACCTTATGTGAAGACCTAAGGATTGTGCAGCATCTTCGTCCCAAACCCACAAGACTCCAGAACACAATTTCTCACATAGCAAAGTAAAGAACAAAGGGACTGAATCCAGGCTCTGGTTTGATTCTTACCATCAACTGTATATGTCTGAGAATTAGATTTCAGTTACATCCTTCATTTTTATTGGTAATAAACAGAATGTAAGGAGCCCTGGTGGAAATTGACCGCTAACCGAAAGGTCAGTGGTTCAAAACCACCAGCAGCTCCAAGGGAGAAAGATGTGGCAGTCTGCTTTCATAGAGATTTACAGCCTTGGAAACCCTATGGGTAGCTATGAGTAAGAATCGACTCGATGGCAGTGGGTGGGTGAGTAAACAGAATGTAAGACTTACTTCAACTATCTCAGGTGTTTTTGAGGAGGGTATTTTGTATGGTTGTTTGTATGTTTGTTATTATATCCTTTGCACTTTTGTCAACCTGAGATCCCAACACAGTTTGATGCCTGTTATGGATTGAATTGTGTCCCCCCAAAATATGTGTTGTAAATCCTAACCCCATACTTGTGGATAGAATTCCATTTGGGAATAGGACTTTCTTTGTTATGTTAATGAGGCCATATCAGTGTAGGGTATGTCTTAAACCGATCACTTTTGAGATATATTAAAAAAAAAAAAAAAAAAAACAGATTAGGCACAGAAGCAAGCAAGCACAGATGAAGGAAAATAGATGCCATGCCACATGAAGATCAACAAGGAACTGAGGGACAGAAACTGAAAAGAGACAAGGACCCTTCCCCAGAATGGTGCCCTGAATTCAAACTTGTAGCCTCCTAAACTGTGAGAAAATGAATTTCTGTTTGTTAAAGCTGCCCATTTGTGATATTTCTGTTATAGCAGTGCTAAGAGAGTAAAGGAAACCCTGGTAGCGAAGTAGTTAAGAGCTATGGCTGCTAACCAAAAAGTCAGCAGTTAGAATCCACCAAGCACTCCTTGGAAACCCTATGTTGCAGTTCTATGGGTTGGAATCAACTCACTGGCAATGGGTAAGGGAGTAAAACAATGTCAATTCACTTACATCCCCTGTGTGCTGTGTTTTCAAAAGGTGGCAGAAAATGACTTGTAAGCTCTAACTCAGTGTCAACATGGAGGCTACTGTCACTCAGTTTTTCAGATACCGACAATTTAAATTACAATTTAAACTATACTGTCTTGACTGAATAAAGGCAAAGCAGGAGCACGCAAGTTCTTGGAACTCACAATAACAGAGAAAGACCACGGGGTCAGACGGCTACGTGGCCAGGATCGCCTGCACCTGCAAATGAAGAGGATCTAAAATCAACTGGTCTTGGAACGTTCCTTCTAGGAGTAACCTCTGCATGTGAAAGTCTGGGAAGGAAGCACTTAGTGTGACCATTTTATTGTAACGTTTTAATCATAACGAAATCTTCAACATTAGTTAGAATACTTTTAAGAGCTTTAGAAAGGTTTTAATTTCATTTAAGGACATTAAAGGCTGCAATATCTTACTGTGCCAGAAAGTAAGGAAGTGCACACACACAAAAAAATAATAATGAAGAACGTCAGAAGGACCCAGGAGTCTGCTGGAGGGAGCTCCCCATGGGCAAATCTGGGCCAATATTGATAGTTACAGATTATAACCTACTGAACAAAATAAGAATCAATGGGACTGTATGAATAAATGAATAATGGGAAAGAAGGCAATTTTTTTTCCTTACAGTAGGATTCCTGTTAATAAAGGTAGAGGAAATGATGATTGTTTGGCAATCACCATAGTAATAATTATTTTAGGCAAGAATGATTATTGGCTGTTAAAACTAGTGGGAGAAAGTATGAAAATAAAGAGGATATATTTATATAGTCTCAAAGTGTCTCCCTACAAGATCCGTATTAGTTGTTGTTATTGTTGTTGTTAGCTGCTGTCTGGTTGGCCCTGACTCATGGGGACCCTGACTCATGGAGACCCCATGCACAACTGAACGAAACATTGCACAGTCTTGCATCATCCCCAAGATTGGTTGCAGATCAGACCGTTGTGATCCACAGGGTTTCCGTTGGCTGATTTTCAGAAGTAGATCATCAGGCCTCCTTCTTGGTCTAGGAGCTCCTCTGAAACCTGTTCAACATCATAGCAGCATGCAAGCTTCCACTGACAGCTGTTGGTTGCACATGAAGAGCATTGGTGGGAAATGAACCTGGATCTCCTGCATGGAAGGTGAAAATTCTACCACCGAACTACCAATATTCCCAAACTTACCAGATACAAGGGAAAAAATGATAATTTTACAGTAAAGTAGCCTGGAAAACACCACCTTAAACACCACCACAGTGGGAGAAAAATGTAGAACAAAATTCA